TTTTCTATAAAAAAGGTTTTATAAAAATTTTCGCTGAAGTCAACTGTTTAGGCACAAAATCCCTGGAAATTTTACAATTTTGCGTAAAATATGATATATTATGTATAGTCCAATTTCCCAAATCAAATGTCGATTAGGGTTCACTAAAACTAGTTTTAGTTTAGTTTCTTCAATTTTGTCATAAAACAGTGGCGTATCATTAATTCGCTCGTTAATTTATGAATAATCAATTGTAATTACTGAAAATGTGTACTTGTTTCCACACCACCCAAGAGGTAAAGTATATGGCGCGTTTATCTTAACGTGGTCTCCCCGGAGGCCGACTCCACTAGATAAATTAAAAACTTTAACTTATCTGCACAAGCCCGACGGATCTGGCTCATTGATGTCAAAGTCGATCGTGTCTGCTGTGCTGGGCTCATCAGGGTGGTCTCTCAATACGTCCAACTCTTCATCTTCAGCCGCCAGAGGGATATCTACAGGCAAGTCAACTCCTCTTCATCGGATTCGTCGAGTGACACTTCAGTGACGTTGTCACAGGATTTCCCATTGCAGTATGCACAAATCATTGAACATTTTAATCCTGCTTTTCTGCATCCGCAGGCTTTACCATAGTTGTTGGTTTTGCATTTACAGGATAAAAATGCCAATAGGGATTTTGGAGCTGGATCTTTCAACGTTGTGACTGGAGTAATGCCTGTTTTCGTTTTCTTCCAACCCCATTCTTCGGCATCTTTGGTACAACCAGACCAATGCTGAACCTGGTGGTAAGTTCGCAATGAATGCTGTCTAGCACGACAATTAATTATTCATAAATTAATGAGCGAATTAATGATACGCCACTGTTTCATGACAAAATTGAAGAAACTAAACTAAAACTAGTTTTAGTGAACCCTAGTCGACATTTGATTTCGGAAAATCGACTATACATAATATATCATCTTTTACGCAAAATTGTAAAATTTTCAGGGATTTTGTGCCTAAACTGTTGACTTTAGCGAAAATTTTCATAAAACCTTTTTTATAGAAAATTTTATTCTCTTTAATTTTGCTCTCCTCAAATTTTCACAAAAAACGCATAGTTTTCGAGATATTCAAAAAATACCGATTGTGGGCGCCATCTTGGCAAGATGGCGGCGCCGGCGGCAAGTCTGGAATAGTGCATTTTATGGATTTTAGTTAGGGACCCCAAAACCTATAAACCTGCAAAGTTTCAAAACTTCCGGACTTTTTTCCAAGCAGGCCCCTTTTTTGATCCCCAATGACTGAACTATTACCGTTTTTCAAAATAACCGAGTAATTTTACTTTGAAAATTAAAAAAAATACATTTTTTTCTATTACTTTAATTTTTCCTTAAATTCTGAGAACCACTGGATCTCTTCTGGGTTTCCTTTCTTGTAAATTAATCTACTACAACTGTTGCCATATTATCAAGAAATTATATTTTTTATCTAAAAACTAAAAAAAATCCAAATAATTTTCTAAAAAATTACAAATTTTCCAAAAAAAAAATTCGTGAAAAACAAACTCATAATCGTGTTGTAATAATCGTGTTATGTAAACAATTCTCAAAATTTTTTGCTTAAATTTTGAGAACACCTGATGGATCTTTCCTGGATTTTCTTTCTTGTAAATTTAATCTACTATCTCTGTTGCCATATTATCAAGAAATAATGTTTTTTAACTAAAAACTAAAAACAAATCCAAATAATTTTCCAAAAAAATACAAATTTTCCAAAAAAAAATTTCGCGAAAAACAAACTCATAATCGTGTTTCTGGTATCGAAGTATATTACCCCTAAACATATTTGCACTTATTTGAGACTCACCCTGTATAATAATTTATTATATAATTTTTTTTATACCGGGTGCGTCCCAAAAGTTGCTCACCCTTATAACTTTTTTATTTTTTCAGATAAAAAAACAGATTTGGTATGGGAGTATATGACATAAATTAAAATTGATAGACATATTCAATTGTTTTCGGTCACTTCTTGTTTCACCAGAAATTACTATAACTTTTGATTTTTAAATGACACGTATATGTCAACTTTTGACATTTACGCATATGGTTTATTTGAAATTGTAACATGCGGTTCATAACGACAATTTGACTCGAAATACCGAGTGTGTGCTATCAAATTATTCGTAAAAAAATGCTTTATGATTAAAAATTCTATTTCGACATCTTTTAACCGGTCAAGATAAGACACTAAAAACATTTGACGATCAAATATATTTTTCCGAGGATCCTTGGTTAAAAATTAGTGTTTTTAACACAGCCATAGCACTCTAGATTGAAATTTATAATATGATTTTTTAAGCGAAAATGTCAAAAATTGACATATGATATAGAAAACCCGTATTTTTAAATACGAGCGATATTTCGCTCGAGCGATCGCTCGATTATTGCAATCGCTTAAAACTCAAGTGCTCGATTATTGAAATTAATCGGTTTTCCCATCACTAGTATTTTTATCTAAAAAATTAAAAAAGTTATAGGGGTGAGCCACTTTTGAGACACACCCGGTATATTGGTCAATCTTTTATACATCTCTATGGTTTAAGCCGTATTTATATCCCCTTTAATGCTGTTAAAAAAACGTGTAACGCCTCTATAGCAGAATTAATGATGTAACCTATTGGCATCCACTAAGTATTTATGATCCAATGTTTTAACTCAACCTCCACAGGCGTAGTAATTCTGTTTTGTTTTGTTAGGTTTCCAAACTTAATTAGGTAAAATTAATTAAGTTTGTCTAATTAATTTAATTAGTTACACGGTCACAAGCGGGGGCAATTAAAGGAAAAGATTAAATGGAAATGTAATCCCTAATAATTAGTAATGTTCGATATGAAAGTCGTAATTGCATTGTCTGGAACGACAATTAGCGCTAAAGCGATGTTGGAATTTAGCGCGGTGGTAATTATAGAATATCGCTGCCTTAATATTCTCACTGAAATTCTGAAATTACTATCTTAATTATCGTTTGCGATTATATTATGCTTTCTTAACAGCAATAAGGTTTTTTTTATCTTTGTTTTGCTGTTTTATATTTTCTAAATTCTTATCAACATCGTATTGCAATTTTTATCATCATATATTGCTTTATTCTACCGTGTTTATCAGCCAAATAGAATAAATTCGATAATAAATAAATGAAATGCAACACCCTGTATTCAAATCCAACTGGATGACATACCAAGAATGGACAACTTTGACAAGCACCACTCTGTATCAACAGAGCAACAAAAAGAATTGTACTAAGGAGCTACTTTTAACTGCTGAGCTAATTGCTCAGCAGTTAAAAGACCATACCACAAGTGGTATACCGTTGCCTCCAAAACCAAAGCAGAAATTTGGATCGAAAACTAAATACTCCGAACCATTGGGCATCTACTCCATCGTCCCTCAGGCAGAAATCTACGCTATCGAAAGATGCGTACTACTTATCTTAGATAGGAAACAAGAAATAGCCATCTTACCCAAGAGTCAATCAGCCCTAAGAGCGATTAACTCAGTAACTCTCGATTTGAAGTTGGTCAAAGAATGTATAGAGAAGCTGAACAAATTAGGCAAAGAAAATAAAGTCCTCTTACTCTGAGTGCCAGCCCAGAAAGGGATTGTCTTCTATTGTATTGACTAAGAGTGGGTCCCCAGGTGGGACCCTCCACTGCGGCCTCGAGGGCCTATTGTGGCTCAGTTTTTACAAGCTCTGTAATAGAAAAAGAGCATTAAACACCTTCACCCTCAAGACCCAGCCTTTTAACATATGCCGTTATGTCCGAGGGTGATATGTCTTCTAGGTCTGATAGGTCTAGCGTGGGTTTGCCAAACACGTCAAACCTGGTCCTGCCCCCAGCAGCGGGGCGTTCTTGGCATGTTCCATTCCGGGACTATCATACCAGTCCCGAAACGTCGCACTCCTAACCCATTCACAGAGCATGTCTCTTGCGAGATTTTTTAGCACGCTAAGTGTCGATTCTGGGCCCAAGAATGGTGAGCGTGTACCAGTTTTGGCGAGGGAATCAGCACGTTCATTTCCCTCTAGGCCGACATGTCCCGATATCCGTATTAGCGACACTTTATCCCTATCTCATAATATATTGAGTAGTTTCTTACAATGAATTATCGTCATAGACGTGCTTTTGTTTGCCTCAAGTGCTTTCAACGCGGCTTGACTATCCGAAAATATGCTTATTGTTTTCCCGGTGTATTGCTGTTCTACCAGCAGTTGCACACAGGTTTCAATAGCATATAGCTCAGCTTGGAACATTGTGGTGTGTTTTCCAAGACTGTGGTAGATCTCAGTCTTTTGACTGCTGCAGTGAATTTCTGCGCCAGATCCTTTATCGTTTTTGGATTCGTCCGTGTACCGACATATTTCCGCATGTAATAAGCCGTTTCTCGGCTTATCCCATTCGTCCCTATTCGGAAACAGCACGTGTCAAGAGCTGGATTGGTGGTGTGAGTTCCGAAACCATTTCCAGAATCTCATCCGATTGTAGTTCGTCTATTAGTCGGTTTTGTATGAACAAGATTGTTCCTTGGCTCTCTTGTGCCATATTTAGAAACCTACAGCAAGGGATAGAAGGTAATGAAAAATCAAGCGATCTAGCTAGAAATGGAGCAAATACTCCACTAATTGAACCAGAACCGTTCTGCTTCCCAAGTGGAAATCAACTTAAGACAAAAATCAAGAACCTTGAAGACTTACAACCGAGAAAAATCAAAGATTTTCCTTGATTTAAGTAAGAACAATCTTCAGATTGGCACGCGATTTTTAACAGGACACTGTCTCCTTAATGAATACCTCAGTAAATTGAAGCTAAGAAACAACGACAAACAATGCAGATTCTGTGAACCCAAAAAATCATGCGTCGTGCAATAAATAAGTCCTTTTTGCACTAGTTACACAAATAATTATTATACTTCCATTTATTTTATTGTCGAATTTTTTTAACTACGTAATATTTTATCTTAAACATGGCTACTTACTTGAAGTATGTGAAGATAAACAATGCTACGATCAAGGTGATTGTGCTGATGATAAATCCAATGAGATAAATGTAAATCTGAGTGTCTACGTTCGATGAGAGCAGGTCCAGTTCTTTGCAGTTGTCATAAGTTGATTTGTTCCATGTTCCGTTCTCCAAGCACATCCTAGTGACATTTTCTGTAAAAATTAAAAAAAAAGTTGTAGCTCATTCATTATAAATTTTCGTACAAAAGGAAGAAGTATGAACACAATACTTCTTATCTTATTATCGTTATTAAGCGGAATTCCCTTAATAAGTGACAACTAAATAAAACAAGGCAAAAATCAAAATAGATTTGTATTTTGCTTAATATACAGGGTGGCCCGAACTGTATTCCGGAAACTTCGGCATCATATTCTGCAGATAATAATAAGGTAAAAACGGTACGTAAAAATGTACGTCCTAAAATGCTTAGTTTCGGAGATATAGGGTCTTGATTGTTCATTTTATTTCGATTTTTTTTTAAATAATTTCTAATTGAAGTAACGTCAATATTTGGATGAAAATTAGTGTTTGGGAGTTTTTTGACATGAGATATTTGATTTTAATGTCAATGTGACTCCTACTTGGAGAGGGCGCCACCTACATATTTTTTAACTGGTTTGAAACAACAGCTGTTTGAGAAAAAATATGCATTTACGACCTTTTTTACGTAAAAAAGTCTCTTAGTAAAAATCGCTACGAGTAATGGTTCTCGTCGGTGCTGCCACAATCGGAGAATATCGTAAACAACTGATATAGACAAATACACGGGCTTAAATAGCGAGTATACGAAAAATTTATTATATGACTATTCTAAAAGCGTTAGAAAGTATAATTTGTGGAAATTATAAAAATGAAAATAAAAAAGTAAATATTTTGACACCTTCAGAAGGTTTAACTTGTATTATAATTTATTATTCCAGCTAAAAAAACTTTTTAGATGAGTTCAACTTCGGTAGCGAACATAGTTCACCGGTTTTTGCTAGTGTGGTCATAATTGGGGCTATTTCGGCTATAACAATTTTTTTTAAGATACATAATTATAATTTTAGAAGATGTTATAGTAGTACACATTTAATCACTAGTCGATTAAAAAAGATACCATTAATATTGCAAATTATATTTTATCCTCATAGTATATTATGTCTATTTAATTTTTTTGATTATGTAATGAGCACATTGTTTACTCACTTGTTTCGTCGAACTGCTTGAATCCATTTTTGCTTTTGATCAAATCGGTGTAAGAAACTACGAACCTATAAAATGTTTCGGGAGAGATGAAAATCCGGGAAAGTTGAATTGAATGTTATTGCACCCAACAACGCCCCAATTACGCTCTCCTTTGCGCGTTAATATTTTTTGGGAGTTTTATTAACCTTTGAAATTGTTACAACACAACACGACGCGCGACGCGTAGAATTCTTTTTCACTTATTTCCCTGAGAGAAGATGAGAACTTAGAACTTCCCGTTTAATCTCTGAGAAAATTACCTACAGCAAACAGAAATATTCTTTTCGTCCAAATTGAATTAGAGATGTTATAAAACTTATAAATACATTTTTCTTGTTTAGAATAGGCAACATTATTTAGAATTTCCTGTTTAATCTCAAATGATAGTTTAGGTTTTAGTTTTACCTTTTTTGATCTTAAAAAGAACTTTTCAAAATTAGTAATTGGTAACGATTTAGTTAGTTCGCAATCGATAGCTTCCTGTGAAGTACTGTGTAATAGTTGTTTAATCTTGTATTATTAATAACTTCCTATACCTAAAATCAATATCTATTTTAATCCTTTTAGTTTCTCAATAGAGGGCATTTATCATTAAAAGTATCAAATCTGTGTGCTACAGTATGGGATTTCTGTCGCATAATAATCCACATCACACAAACCTCGTACCTGAGTGTTTTATAGTCTAAATAACTGCACACAAAACAAAAAACTAAAATACTTAAATATTATGACAAAGCCACTATTTCAATATTATTTTAATGCGATCAACATGAACTGTAACTGGGACGGCGTGAAATACATGAGCAAAAATTTCTGATTTCTGCCGTATACAGCGCCGCGGTCGGAATTTTTTGACATCAACTGAAACGCACCAAGCCTACGAGTATAATGTTCACAAAAAACAGATTTCCATAGATTTAATAAAAATAAATATAAAATTATAAAGAGAGAGAAAAATGTTATTTATATAAAATTGAACAGCGATAGAGAATATAGGAAAAGCAGCATATTATTCGATCGAAGGTTAAAAGCAATTTTGGTACTGATGCTTTCCGTTGATTTGCCTCTCTCAAGGGATATCGTTGACGATGTGGGCTTGAAAGGACTTAATTGAAAAAATATCTCTTAAGGTTAATAGACACTCGAGACGGGTCGGAGTTGACCCTTGTCGAGAATCTTTTTTATAAGCAATCCAAGTTAATTAAATATTACACAGGAAGAAAGTAGAAAACCGAGATACCGCATTATCGAAAAAAAAACGGCGACAAAGACGCCTGGGGAATAACAATCGACGATAATTTTGGCGAGGTCAATTAACCAGACGTCATTTACTAAAAATTGACATAAAACTTGTCAAAATTAACACTAATTAGAGAAAGATTAGAACGTTTTCAGACATACAAAGCTATTTCCAAAAAAATATTTTTTTTCTCGAATTTTAGTCCTTTATATGTTGATGGTCGTTAAATCGACCACTTTAATTTAACCAACTAATCAGTCGCGTGGAAGTGTATTATCGCCCAGTTTGTTTGCTACGCTTATTTCTATGCGCGCCTTGGCCATTTAATCAACCATATTTATACCGAATTGGCGCGAAAAGTTAATATAAGCGGTTGAATATTCGACCAGTGAGCATTGATGACACTGAGTTTGCTGTGTATCATATAGGTAATAATTGTCGTATAAGCATTTTCTATGCAAATTTTGTGAAAATCTGTGACGTATCTGTGACGTTTATTTATTTTTATTTAGTGCACAAAATTTACGGCTCGGATGATATTTTCTGAAATCGTTAACCTATCCAGTATATTTTCGATCATTTCTCATAGGATGCGAGTTTCTCGAAAAACAAAATTTGATTTACTTGATATGGGCATATTTTTGAGTGGAGAGCTAACAGAGATAATCAAAATGAACTTACTCTTCTTTCTTACATTGGATGATACATATGCAGAGAAGACCAGGCTACTAGTAACATAGCAAGTTGCCGGACGAATTTGCGTTTACCCGTTTTGCGTCCGTACTCGAGATTCACTGCCGGCTAGTCGGCTGGTCAGTGGTCAGGCAGTACGCAGTTGCAGTTGTGCTTGGACGGGTCGGTCGTAACAGACTAGGAATACGACGCGAAGAGTGCCGTGTATTTATTATTTTAATTTTAAGTGTTTACCTTTACTTAAGTTAACATTTAAAATGAAAATACTTAAATATTTATTATTTGAGTGTGTTTACAAGCCAAAACTAAAAATAAATAAATTCTCTAAACCCAAAAAAAAACTAAAATATTACTCTAAATAAGAAAAAGTTATAACAAGTGTTCAAAAAGACCATCTTCTTGTGCTAGACAGAAGCCTAGGCGGTCGTAAAATCCCCGTCTGACATTGGCTAACATATTAGGGCTAATAGTTTGGAAGGCCTCTCGTATTTTTACTTGAAGCTCATCCAGATTATTAGCCCTATTATGACCATACACTTTGGATTTTACATAACCCCACAAAAATAAGTCATTGGGAGAAAGATCTGGTGATCTAGCGGGCCACAAAATAGTTCCATATCCACTAATTAAACGGTTGGGAAAAGTATTGTTCAAATATTCTTGAACAATACGGGCATTGTGGGCAGGACAACCACCTCAACCGCAATTTGATTACTTGAAAACGTGGGATTTTGATCCGCGGTAGCACAAATGAACACTTGCTTTAACTCCTGTTCTTCATTAATCAACACATCAGGCTTTTTGCGTTTTTGTCGGAACACGCACCCATGTGTTTCAAAATTATTAATAACTCTTGATACAGTAAGTAAAGATGGAATTGGCCTGTTTACAAAAGTTTGTGGAAAAATTGTTTGTATATTCCGATAAAACCTATTTTGGAAATACCATTTTACAATTTGAATTTTCTCACGAACTTCGTAAACATACATTATTTTACTTAAAAAGTAAATTTTACACGAGAACTGTCGCGAGAATCTATGTATTCGTTTTAGCTATTAAAACACCAATAAATACAAATTCTGAAACATTCTTATCACATATCTACCTATTTTTAGTTTATCGCATTTTTTCGCCTGCTTTTTATCCGCCGAACGGGTATACGCTAATTCGTCCGGTTCTGCCTATGTTACTACTACGGTGGTCCGGTCTGTATATTTGCTTTAACAGTCTCTGGTTGAAAAATCGATCACTATTGAAGGGACTGGACCGTTGTCTCTGTTCATACTATCTTTACATTTATTAATTTTGACGCTCTAATATGCAGCTAACTGCCTGCAATTTGAGGCTTACTTAATTAATTTAATATTATTAATGTCTATACAATGTTCTTTATCAACAACTAGCGTTTACCAGCGACTTCGTTCGCGTCGAATTAATCATTTGTAATGATGATGATAAAGCAAAGCAAGAATTTCCATTAACATACAAACTGGATAAAATTTTCTCACATTTATGTCAGCTTGAGAAAAAACAATATGGCGATATTATTTATAACTTGGTAATATTTGAGGGGTCGTTTCATCTCGTTGGAATTTGACTTTCGAAAAATCCGTTTGCCAAAAATAAGCTTTTTACGTCAAGCAGTTTAAGCAGAATCGTGGTTAAGAAATTACCCAACTTTTTGGAACACCCTGTATGATTTTTTAAAAAAAATTCAAAATATGTAAAAAAACAAATAAATTATGCTTGTCCAAGCGTTTTCCCGAAAGACTAACCGTTTTTAAACAACAAATATTGTAATATTTGAGGGGCGTTTTCACCCTTTTGGAATTTGAGATTCGAGAAACCCCTCCTTATCGAACCTCTACACCCCACAGTCAATCCGTTTACCAAAAATCAGCTTTAAACGTCGAGCAGTTTAAGCAGAATCGTGATCACTCAATGGTCATATTTTATGAAACACCCTGTATAAATTTATAAAAAATCTTAAAA